TATATATATATATATATATATATATATCGGGGGTGGTGATTACTTGGTCCCCTGCTGAATTTGTAAGATTGCGTCATTGATTTGCTCAATTACAATGAAAAAAATTTAATCAGATTTTTATGGTAGTTACAATTTAATAAAGAAAGATAAAATACTTACTCAAAAATCCAGAAAAAAAATGTGTTACATAAAAGTTAATACATTTATTCACATGTCACTGAGTGAAATAAGTATTTGAACCTTACAATCCAGACAGAGTTCAGTCTCCCACCTATTGGCTGTGTCTCACATCACAATCAATAAATCATCAAGTATAGATAAAGCACAACTGTCCACAGAAAAATGCTGAGTATGATCCAAAGAACACCATCCCCTCAGTCAAGCACAGAGGTGGAAACATTATCCTTTGTGGCTGTTTTTCTGCTAATAGTACAGGACGACTTCATCACATTCAGGAGCCAAAGTTGGGACCACATACTGTAAAATCTTGGCCGAGAACCTCCTTCCTTCAGAGGTCTAAAGATGGATGCGTCTTCCAGCATGAAAATGAACCAAAACATACTGCCAACAAAGAAGTGGTTAAAGAAGGACAAGTTAAGGTCATGGAGTGGCATAGTCACCAGACACTCGGCCTCAATCTTACAGAAAATCTATGATACGTATGCAAACCTGGTGAACACCTATAAAAAACGTCTTCCTACTTCCAGCAGTTGCCATCAAGGGTTTCTGCACCAAGTACTAAGTCGAGTTTTCCGTTGGGGATCAAATACCTTTTTCTCTTAATGACATGCAAATAAATTTATAACTTTTATATATTTTGTGTTTTTTCTTGATTGTCTATCTCTCTCTCTTAAAATGAAACTACCATAAAAATGAGAGAATGTTCATTTCTTTAGAAGTGAGCAAACTTATTTCCCCTTCTGTATATTCCTTTACAGCACTAGATGCTCATAATAAATAAAGCCAAAGTTTCAAATGATGATATGAGTATGTGTAAAGGTAATCTGTGAGTCAAAGACCTATGAGCTGCTTCACACTATCCTAAATGTTCAGCTTCTGACACTCTTTTTCTATTTTGTATACCCCTGCGTGAATCAACACCGCATCACGGTGGAGGGGTTTGTGCAAGATTTCATGAGCTATGGCCAACTTGCCCCTGATACGGTCTCCCATGTCTCCCTGGCGGTGGGGCCAAACAAAGAGTGGTTCAGCAAATCCTGGTGAGTGGAACAAATCAAGGGTCCAGTGTACCCTGCCTGGGCATGGTTACTGAGGTCCTACCATCAGGGGAAGTGGTATTCTACATACACCGTTGACAGTGGAGATGGGACACTCCTGACTTCGACCGAGAATATAGTTAGAGATCCTCAGTACCATGCCTTCTTTACTGTAAGCATAGTCTGGGGAGGAAGTGGAAAAATCACCCATCACTGGTGTTGAAGTCGCTGATGTAGTTAAACAATTGAAAATGTTAACGAAGGTTTTTTAACAGCAGGATTTAAAGGAATTTGTTTAAGTAACACCACCCACATAAAAAAATGTTACTCAAATGAAAGTGTATTCACAGCAGTATTTTTATTAGTTTGTAGAAAGTAGTACAAATGCACAGACATAATGAAAACAAAAAAGGTATGTTTGTATGTAAATATTCTTTGACAATGAACATAAATAGGGTAGTGTAATACTGAGTCCAGAACTTCCTCCTCCAACAGAGAACACAATTCTTAATCAGCCTTTAAAAATAAAAAGAAACACATTATATTTGTATAAAATGTTCAAATGTGAGACAGAAAACTGCGGACCAGCTGGAAAGATCTTAGAGGGAAATAAAATCTACTCCCTTAACCATTAAGATGCTCCACAAAAGCCTGTGGTTGTGGTATAAAGCTATTACAACTGATTATTTTTTTAATCTTTGTATTGTTTTGGTTAAAGGGTCAGTGCAAACTTCTGAATTATATGGTTGAGAAATATAAACGAAAGCTATGATTGGACACCAGTGAAATACTTTGGATGGGAAGAGGACTTTTCTGAGTCTGTACACCTTCCCTGAGCTTGAAATGAGTCATCAAATGAATCAGTATTAGTGGTGGATCAATGTCAAAAACCTTCAACCAAATTTAAAAATAGCTGCAGAAAGTTTAAAGTTAAATTAGCAGAGATGGAAACTGACAGCACAAATCATTTAATTGCAGGAATAAACAATGGCCTTGTGCATTTTACTGCAAGATTTTGCTGTGATTGAGACATGTTGCACTTAGCGGCAAACAGTATATGAACATTTGCTTGTCTGGGTACTTTCATGTTGTTTGGTGTCAGGCTGAGTTTATGGTCAAACTTACTCTCTGCAGGTCAAATAAATGGTGCCTCCAACTCTAATGATATATGTACACATCTACTTTTTTGTGCACAATGGGTGAGCCTTGAAACAGTGATGATAACCCCAACTAACACCTCTGAGATAAACTGGAAACCCAGCTGTGACCACAGACATATCAGCATCTGTTGTGTACCAAACAGGAACAACTGTCAAATGGATAGTGACAGGTGTGAAGGAAAAAGAGTGATGGAACAAAGAGTGAATGCTCTTGCAGCAACATAATAACACCCATGATTTTGGATTTACATGTTTAACAATGACATGTCGGCAAGACTGATGTCCACAGTTAGTTTAACAGTTGCTTCATAGTCAATTGTGTCATTGGTCTATTTGAGATGGAGAGAGATAAACCAAATTCCATTACTTTAAAATAGCTCAGAGAGGAATAAACTGGCTAACTGCTAATTTGCATCCAGGCTATATCTAATGCTAACCTCTCAAGCAGAGCTTTAACCTGCTTCACTATTAGTATGGTTTAATTTGTCCCGCGTTAAAACAGAGCATCGACCGATAACAGTAGACACCGAATTTCAGGTACTGAGGGGGGAACCCAAAACTACGCACACCTGGTTGTGATGGACCACAGTTAGCCCGGGCCTTTGTGATAGGATAACGGACACTTCCATCAGCCAACCAGCCTGCATCACAGTGGTCCAATCCCATCAGTTTCCATGCAGCATACAGCTGGCCCACTTTGGCAATCTGACTTCCATCACTGGAACAAGCCTGGATTGCTTCAGTGAAGTTGAGCTTTGTTGTGTTCTCTAAGAAGTAAACTGTCCCTATCCAGAAGAGAATAATCATTGAAGAAACTGTAATGACCTGGAATTTTTAGATGTAAAAAAATGAACTCAAACATGCTCATACTCACCCTTAACAGACGCAGCGAAGCAGAAAGCGTCATATCGGTGAAGGACACGGTCTCGTTGTCCATAGCTCCGTAGACCAGGAGCCAAGTTCTTGCCCCCACAACCATCACGTGGGATTGTGATTGGATACTGCACTGTGCCATCAGCCAACCAGCCAGCATTACACCAGTCTAGCCCCTCCTCCCATGCTGTAAAGAGCTGCTCAAATGTAGCCAAAGTAGCATCCTGATCCTGGCACTCTTTTTGGGCCCTGAAGAAGTTATAATGGTAGCGTCCTTTCTGAGAGTAGTAAGGAAACACCACACCTGTATGTGAAGGAAAAATGTATTACAACAGTTTCTCAATGAGTACATTTCTTTTTTAATTCAACATGATCAGAAAACCCCAAAATACAACTCAAATAATGCTCATGTCAAA